GCATTTCAAGTCATTTGTTCCCGTATGATGGTATCACTACAATACGTTTCTGGATCTACCACGCATTTCAAGTCATTTGTTCCCGTATGATGGTATCACTACAATACGTTTCTGGATCTACCACGCATTTCAAGTCATTTGTTCCCGTATGATGGTATCACTACAATACGTTTCTGGATCTACCACGCATTTCAAGTCATTTGTTCCCATAGGTTTCTGACCTGGTAGTCCGGTAGTGTAAAGATGAACTCACATAGAACTCCCTATGGAACTAGCCATCTCGTAGAAGTCACCTACTAACTAGCCATCTCGTAGAAGTCACCTACTGCTTCCCAACAATTTGACAGGCACAGGGTCAAGAAAATTCCAAGCACGATTTATTCAACGTTATGACCCCTTTGATAATGGCCACACACATATTTATAACAAAGTATTTAAACCCACATAAAAGTACAAGACACAAGCAGCTAGTGGACCCCGTAACACTTTTTTGGTTGAAAGCTTTATTTACCCCTTGATTTAGAGCAGTGTTTCCCAAAATGTTGACGTCTGGTGGACATGTGGATAGGTTTCCCATTGCACCAGGGAAGACGGCCAGGTTTATTTATTGATTTACTCTAAATCTCTTTTTGATTGACCATAAATGTGGTGTTTTTTTTTTTTAATTAGCCAAATTGAGAAGACTATTCAATATTACCATTTAATGCTAGTGTTAACTGTATTTTTAATAGATAGATATATTTAAGCCATTTAAGGTTGTTTTTTTTAAAGTTTTTCTTTTTTTTAAATGGCTATTTAACTTTTATCAAGTTTCTTGTTTAACATTGCGGTGACCGGCAAGTTTGAATGCAGGGGCTGGGGGGTTTCCAAAAGTCATGTGACGACTCTGCTAAACCAGAAATAGTTAACCAAGGGGAGATCGAGGAAGATCGCCCCGAGTGGCACTTGAATGGGGGTGGCACTTGAATGGGGGTGGCATATTTGGTGTTAATTGAATTAAATTTTGAATTAAAGGAAATATTTCTTGAAAACACTATCTGTATAATCATGTTTATTGCAAAGTAATTATGTGTACCTCTTGTTCTTCTAATTGGCCCCTGTTGAGATTGCAAAGAAAAAGATAACAGTTTAAAAAAATATATCATAGAAAACTTAGCAGATTTTCATTCATTGTCTACTTCAGTTGTGCACTGCATTTCTTTTTTTTTTAAAGCTGGTTACAATTTATTTGTGCACCGAAAAACAAAACAAATTTTTCGAATTCCAAGACAATGTTTTTCCCTTTAAAATGATAGAAACTCACTGGATTAATCCGTTCATGGGTCCCACAAACTCTATGGATCTGTCGTTTTCTTTAAGATCTCGAAAGCTCCCCTTATGGCTTTAAGCTCCTCCTTTTGAGCACAGTATCAGGCTAAATCCCCGGTGAGGATCTCTCCTTTTATCAAATAAACCTTTCAGAAATCACCACTCCGGACGCTGTCTTTCATTAATCCAGACAAAGAGCAGTTTGTGTCACCTCTTCCTCTTCCATACTTTCTCCTAAAGAGCAGTTTGTGTCACCTCTTCCATACTTTCTCCTAAAGAGCAGTTTGTGTCACCTCTTCCATACTTTTTCCTAAAGAGCAGTTTGTGTCACCTCTTCCATACTTTTTCCTAAAGAGCAGTTTGTGTCACCTCTTCCATACTTTCTCCTAAAGAGCAGTTTGTGTCACCTCTTCCATACTTTCTCCTAAAGAGCAGTTTGTGTCACCTCTTCCTCTTCCTTTCTTTCTCCTCAGTGTCAGTTTGTTACTCCTCTTNCCTCTTCCTCTTCCATACTTTCTCCTAAAGAGCAGTTTGTGTCACCTCTTCCATACTTTTTCCTAAAGAGCAGTTTGTGTCACCTCTTCCATACTTTTTCCTAAAGAGCAGTTTGTGTCACCTCTTCCATACTTTCTCCTAAAGAGCAGTTTGTGTCACCTCTTCCATACTTTCTCCTAAAGAGCAGTTTGTGTCACCTCTTCCTCTTCCATACTTTCTCCTAAAGAGCAGTTTGTGTCACCTCTTCCATACTTTTTCCTAAAGAGCAGTTTGTGTCACCTCTTCCATACTTTTTCCTAAAGAGCAGTTTGTGTCACCTCTTCCATACTTTCTCCTAAAGAGCAGTTTGTGTCACCTCTTCCATACTTTCTCCTAAAGAGCAGTTTGTGTCACCTCTTCCTCTTCCATACTTTCTCCTAAAGAGCAGTTTGTGTCACCTCTTCCATACTTTCTCCTAAAGAGCAGTTTGTGTCACCTCTTCCATACTTTCTCCTAAAGAGCAGTTTTTGTCACCTCTTCCATACTTTCTCCTAAAGATCAGTTTCGTAACCACAGGTCAGTGTCGTAACCCCAGGTCAGTGTTGTAACAACAGGTAAGTGTCGTAACCCCAGGTCAGTGTTGTAACCCCAGGTCAGTGTCGTAGCCCTAGACCAGTGTCGTAACCCTAGGTCACTGTTGTAACCCCAGGTCAGTGTCGTAGTCCCTTTCTTTTTATTTTTTAAAATTCTGATAACCCGCTCTGTAGTCTGTAGTGTTGATTGGTGTAAGCATGTTTGGCCATATTGTTAGTTTGTCTGCGCTTTCATGTCCTGGTATATAGTGGTGTCCTGTATATAGTGGTGTCCTGTATATAGTGGTGTCCTGTATATAGTGGTGTCCTGTATATAGTGGTGTCCTGTATATCGTGGTGTCCTGTATATAGTGGTGTCCTGTATATAGTGGTGTCCTGTATATAGTGGTGTCCTGTATATAGTGGTGTCCTGTATCCATTGTAGAGACCGACCGAAAGTGATTTTCTGATTTCGGCCGAAGCCGAAAATAGGCCGAAAGTTTAAAATGACTTACGGCCGAAACCGAAAAAAGGCCGAAATTTTAAAAATGACTTTCGGCCGAAACCGAAAAAAGGCCGAAGATTAAAAATGAATTTCGGCCGAAACCGAAGCCGAAACCGAAAATGAAATATTAAGAAATTTTGAAATTCGTTCCCGCATACATTCTGCATACATCGAAAATGATGTGGGAAAGTATAAATATTTACATTCTTTTA